AACTAATGACAATAATATTCATAAATTACAACTACTAATTATTTATAAATGTAATTAAAACATTTTTGTGATTTTGCGCAGCAACTTAACTGTTACTAAAGATTAATGAAGCAATAACTTTGTACTTTGTAACAAAGTGTCACCAAAGCTGTGTCAGCTCACAGCAATCAAAGAGAAAGTCAATGACATTCTGTGGCTTTAAATAACTACTGGACAAATAAATGCTGGTGACGCAAAGTGGGCAGGTCCCACGATTAACATATGACACGCCAGTAAATCCATTGGAGGTTACCTTGGCAACTGGAACTTCAAATACCCAGAGGCTTTAAGGGGTGGCTACAGCGCCTTTGCACCTTTTGTTTTTTTTAAAGATCCATTTTAGTAATATTACAAAAAGATGTAAAAAATATTACCAGATATTCAGAACTGGTCTCTGTACGGTACCAACCACAAGAGTACTTCCTGTCAAAGGTGCAGCAGCATCATCTTAATAATGTCGTCACTGACGAGCTGTACTGCTGGTGTAGTCGTTTCAGCTCTGAATCTGTGCTGGTTTCTGGGTATCTGGGGAAACAATGTAACTAACACATATAGTAGGAGTCTGCAGAGAGCCAAAAACAAGTGTTTGCCCTGTGGCCCCTCAGGAGAATAAAACACAAAAACTGCTGGGCATGACCCGTCGATGTGCTCGCTGTTTGTTTTGTTAACTACATAAACTCCACATACTTCCACACTGACATGAAACAGAAAGGGAGTAGAAAGAGAACCGTCATCCTTACCTCTGCAGACAATGGAAGTATTTAATAAAAAGGGAATAAATAATAAAGTGTGCCAAACCTGACCGACATAATTGATCTGCACTCTGGCATTATTTAAATGGCTCCAAGATACAAACCTCTAACTATTCGAGCTAAAACTCAGACACAAAGACCTTGATTGCAAAAACACACACTTTGCTGTAGTGCGAGTCACCTGTCTAATGAAGTAGACGTGCACGTGCAGACCTGTGATTTGTTGAGCACGGCAGGAAAGGCGAGGCTCCGTCTTGTCATTGAAAACCGCTTTATGGGATTAATTGGCTGCTGATGGCTTATGGATTTTTTCTTTTCCCTCTTTCTGTCTTTGTGTTACAGTTGTGCTGTACATGTTGCTGTTCTGATGTTTGGCCTTGTGCTGCTTCGAGCTCGATTCAGTGGCTTTTGTATGGCCGGCTGCTTTGAAAAGCGGAGACCTTCCTCTCTCTCTCTGCCTCTCGCTCTGTATCAGAGCAAAAGCATTTTCAGTCCAGCCTGATTCTTTGGGATGAATGCTGCGGACAAAACATGTCAATGTGCTTAGTGAGGAACTCGAGGAAATTCACTTCAGTGAAGGCGAATATAAACACCTTTTTTTTTTACTTTTCTAAATGTTAATTTATGGAAGAAGTGTGTTTTTTATGTAAAGGAGAATACAAACATGAGCAAAACATTCTTATTCAGAACACATGTGGCACCGTGTTCATGCCAAAATACATTTGTTCATAAAAATGCATCATCTCTATGTTAACAAAGAAGAATGAGCAGCACAGTTATAGTCCCAGAGTGCTCTTAATATAAGCATTTAATAATAAAACATTTCTGCGCATGTCCACAGTAATGTCCACCTCAGCTGTGACAGACCGTCTAAAAACCTTTTGATAGAAACAAACAAAAACATGTGGACCTCTAAACTGCCAGCCTGCCTGTGAGCACACGGCTTTAATGAAGAAGCTTTGCAGCTATTGGCAGAGATCTCTACACTGTGTGTGTGTGTGTGTGTGTCATTAAGTTCACCACAAAGTCTACATGTATGACAGACATGTGCTGTTAGGTTGAAGCCTCAAACACAGAGCAGCAGTGTTGTGATTATTTAAATGCACTTTCCAGTAGAAATGCAGGAGAAATGATGTTCTCCATGTCAGCTGGTCAAATATTAATAAGCTGAATGGTGTTGCTGTGCTGGTGCTGGGTGTGTATCTGAGACTGGAGTACTCAGATTACTCTGCACAGTCCTGGGTGTGTATCTGAGACTGGATTACTTAGATTACTCAGATTACTCTGCACAGTCCTGGGTGTGTGGCTGCAGTCTTATTCCCGCACACACTGATAACCCTGATCTCTGATATTCAGTGTCTCTCGGACCATCTGTGGCTGAACAATGCCACAGCAAGTGGGCTCACTGCCACTAGGGGGCACTACACCACTACGAAACAGAGCCACTGCCCCCCCCCCTCCAGCCCCAGCTCCTCAGGCTCTTTTGTCTGCTATACATTAACGAACCGTCTCTTTCGCAGATAAAACCGTGTATGATTATTTTACCCCCCCGTTCGCCCTCAAAGGCGCCGCTGATCACTGTGGAATCCTTGAGAGATTTTAATTTCCATTGACTCTGGAGATTCGCCAGTGTCACAGGAAGTAGCAGAAATGTAAATGTAATTGCTCTGTTGCTCCATTGAAATGAAGACACTGCTGAAATTAGGCATTTGTGCGGCTGCTTCTCTTTTTTTTAATCTACTCACAGTCGACTTTGTTCAAATGTGGGAAGACGAGTCACACGAGAACAAAAGAGAACAAACAGAATCATCACACACGGGCACGTTCAGGATCGCGCTGCCTAATTTCTCAATAGTCACTGAGAGATCTGGTGTGCAGCTTGTGGCCTTTCAGTGCAGCTACAGTAAACACAGAAATAGAAGAAGAACATGAAAGCTTCTTGGATGTTTGTCCGCATTTCATTTCTGGCTTTGAAAAAGAATGGCACAACATTACTGCTGTGTCCCTGCCTGTGTGTGAAAGCGAGCTGGACACCTACAGGGAACTTTATATGATCTGATCTCTGCTTAAAAACACCGGCTCGTTTCCTCCCCCACAAATGATTTTAAGTCGTCCTAATTGAAAATGTCAGCGCCTGTTGCAGCGTGTTAAGAGAGCAGTGTGGAATTAAGAGCATCTTAAATGGGCCCCGAGGAGCTCGGTTTCATTTCTCCTCGCGTTCATCCTTCTTGGAGCTGTTTGTCCGAGCTGTTCTGCAGGTCTGATGTGAGGGTTCAAGTCACACTTTGGTCAGTTTCTGAATGTTCATGAATCAGATGTTGTTACAAATGTTACAAATGTTACAAATGT